CTCATTAGGCATATTATTATAATTCTTATTAAGCAACCTCTACAATCTTTTGTGCACAAAAGGTTACTGCCTCTCAGACAGCCATTAGAACCTATATTATCCAAAAAAGTTTGAAGTTTTCTAACCTTCACAATTATTCTTATACAGTGGGGCCTTGACTTACGAGTTTAATTTGTTCCATGACGGAGCTCGTAACTCAAATTACTCGTATGTCAAATCAACAGTGAATGAGTGAGACAGGTGATGCTGGGCTGATGTTGTGGCAGTCACTGATGTTCGCTGCGCCAACTAGCGGTGGGGTATCTGAAGCTGGCTCATAGCTCATAGCTCATAGTTCATAGCTCGCAACTCAAAGCAAAAAAATTGGCCGAGAGAAGGTTCATATCTCGAAAAATTCGTTAGTCCACTCGTAAGTCAAGGCCCCACTGTATTTGTTTACCAATTGAATTATTTTTTTCTCCCTCATTGCCCATTGTTAATGGAACCATCTTAGAATGTTTTAAAAAAAGAAACCCAAAATACACACTGCATATAACATTTTTTTCCAAAGGTAAGTTTATATCTTTCTCTGTTCAATCAGTCTCTATTGTTGTTATATAAATTTGGATATTTTAGACTGTTTTCCCAAAATATCTGTCAATCTTTATATAACATGTTTCATTTAGTAAAGTTCTAAATTCTGTTTTACACCTTATAGAGATGGCAGAGAGATTAGTATAATGTTATCATACCACATATCAGTTAATATGCTATTTTCCTATTTTTTCCACAAAAATACACTTTTTCCATACACTATACTATAGTTGCCAGAGGTATTGTTTGATAAATGCTAGTTTCATCTCTCTTGGGAACCTAACAATACCTAACCACTAAGGAACAGTTTTTGCTAACATAGGGGCTCATGTGTCATGTTAGTCACCACCCATATGCCTCAGGCCAACACAAGCCAATTCAGACTCAGAACAGTGTGACTTTGGTACTCAGGGTATGTCAGTTCCTTTTCAATTCATGATACTCTGGAAATGAGGTAACAGCAGTGATAACCATGTTTCCCAGTGACATTATATAAAGCTTAAGCTGGCTGTAATGTTCTTCCAAATGTAACCTTTGACCCTGGGTCTCCAGCATATGTGGTCACTGTCCTTTAACTATTACAATCATAACGTCAGTCCCTCCAGCATGTGGGAACATGCCATGGTAAGCTGAATGATAAATAGCCTCCACAGTATGTCTATTTCTGTTATGGGTTGAATTGTGCACTCCCCTTCCTTCTCAAATTCTTATGTCCAAATCACCAGTACCTCAGAATGCAACCCTGTTGGGAGATAGGGTTTTTATAGAGGTAATTGAGTTAAAATGAAGTCATTAGGGTGGGGGAAATAGGGTTAGTCTAATCCACTATGACTGGTGTCCTTATTAAAAGAGAAAATTTGGAGACAGACATACACACAGGGAGAACACCACGAGAAAAAGAAAGCAGAGATCATGCGATGTTTCTACATGACAAGGAACACCAAAGATTGCCAGGATATCACCAGGAGAGAGAGAAGAAAGAGAAGAGACATGGGACAGATCCTGCCTCACAGCCTTCAGCAGGAATCAGTTCTGCCAGAACCTTGATCTTGGACTTCCAGCCTCCACAACTGTGAGAAAATACATTTACATTGTTTAAGCCACTCGACTTTTGGTACATTGTTAAGGAAGATCATGAAATGGGGAAATCATCCTGAATTATCAGGGTGGGCCCACTGTAATCACAAGGTCCTCATAAGAGGGATGCAGGCGGATTCTAGCGAGTTGTGGGAATGGTGGTAGATGTGATGACAAGGCACAGGCTGGAGTGATGTGAGGAAAGAATCACAAGCCAAAGAATGAAGGTGGACTCTAGAACCTATAAAAGCCAAGGAAATGAATCCTCCTTACAGAATCTCTTGAAGGAATCAGTCCAATTTGACACCTTGAATTGGCCTGGTGAGACCAATAGTTGGACTTTTGATCTCCAGAACTCTATATAATAAATAAGTGCTGTCTGAGACACTAATTTTGTAGCAATTTACTATGGCAGCAATTGGGAACTAATGTACATGCCCTGGCACAGAGCTGGCTAGAAGCATGATGCTTCATCAGTTTAGTGATCTTCAAAGTCTGTTCACCAATTACTATATCCCAGTGACCAAGTGCTGCCCATTACCAGGGAAGGAATCCTCTTCTGTTTCTATCTGAGTTAACTAGCTAGATCCTGTTGTCATCACATATCATATTCAGTTCCCAAGACCACTAGGTCTCTTTAGTATATTGGGGAGAGTGGTGTTAAAACCACTATGAATATTATTTTTAACTAGAGGCCTGGTGCAAAAAATTTGTGCATTGGCGTGGGGTCCCTCAGCCCAGCCTGCACCCTCTCCAATCTGGGACCCCTCAGAGGATTTCCAACTGCCGGACCAGGCCCACAGGGATCTGGCCTAAACCGGCAGTCGGACATCCCTCTCACAATCCGGGACTGCTGGCTCCTAACCACTCACCTGCCTGCCAGCCTGATCACCCCCTAACTGCTCCCCTGCCGGCCTGATTGACACTTAACTGGTCCCCTGACAGCCCAATCGCCCCCAACTGCCCTCCCTTGCTGGCCATCTTGTGACAATGTGGGGGTGGCCATCTGTGGCATCCATCTTGTGATGACATGGGGGTGGCCATCTTGTGACATGAGGGTGTGAGGGTCAATTTGCATATTATCTCTTTATTATATAGGATTATTATATAGGATCAATATTACATTTGCAAAAGACTTTTCTCTATTACCCTATCCCAGTAGAAGAAAACTTGGGAAAACACCTATCTTTTTGTTCCAAGATTCTCATATATTCTTCTGCTTTTTTTATCCTTGTCTCCTTGTAGTAAGTAGTAAAGACTGCTGCTGGTTTGGTGCTAATTCAATCAAAATAAGCTAAGGATAAGCTTCAAAGGAACCCACATCTCCCAACCCATTGTGCTAAACTTCAAGGCTTTCACACGAAGCTATATGATTAAGTACATTAAGTGATTTTGTGATAACACAATTTTTTTTTAAATGAATTTCTTGGCAATACAAATTAGTCAGGAAATATAAGTCATATTATTTTTCCATAAAATAAAAGCCATTCTATCAAAGAAGTCAAATATCATAAAAATGTCAACACGTTTTCTATTCTGCTATTGCATGTCGTTGCTTCACTAAACTAATGTCACTCTTATAATCAGTTCTTTTATTCCTTAAGTCTTTATAGAAAATTCTGAAGCTGATTTAAGGGATGGCTTGGCTCCATGAATGTGTGATTCCCTGGGTATGCATCTATATATGGCTTTTTCCACTTTAAACAGAGAAATCCTGATCCTATAATCCTGCTTTGTATAATTCTGCTTGTATAAAGTTGAAAACTCAAGTAGTTCTTTTGGAGTGTAGCGTACTTTCTCACATGTCACTTTATACCTCACTATCAGGAGCCTGCTGGGACTTACGTGTAGTTATAGTCGGTCTAAAGGGAAAAAAAGTAGTGAGGGTGGGTTCTGAGTAGAATCAACATTGTTTTGTATAGCAACCGCCTCAGGAGAGACCATTACCATTTCCTCAAGCAATGCAGGGTGGTCTCAGGTGGAGGTGGAAAACCAGTACCACGGTGAGCAGAGATACTACCATGGAGGCTGCTGTCACTGGCCACTTCTGCTGAGGTTTGGATCCTCCAAGTGGACATTAGGTTAGGTAACCAGAAATCTATCTCACAGTCTGAAATACAACTGTGAATTATTTTAAATTATTTTTCAATGGTTACTTTGAAAGTTCTAGTTATTTCTTTATGAAACTAAATAATTACCTACACATGTTCTCAGTGTTGTGCTTTCAGTTTTGACTTTTGTGATGTCTTCATCGTACTGAAAAAATAATTTAATTTTGAACTGCTCTTATCTCCATTTTTATAGGGATTTCTAAGAGGAAGAATTGAAAAGCGTAACAAATGCTTGTGTAGAAAGACTCAGCTTCATCTAAGTGTTAAGATGATCTGAAATATAATATAACCCAAATAAAAATATCATGGGAATTTTTTTTCCAAAATCTAAATTTTTTAGCAGATACTGTATTTTGTCTAGAAAAAAAATAAACAAGAAAGAGTAGTCAGAAAAAAATCTGAAGATTAAAAAAAAAACTATAGGTGTGTTGGAACATATGACAAAGCCTCATTATGTAAAGTAATGTGAATTATGAAACAACAGAACAAGACATAGAATAGAAGATAAAGCCCAGGAAAAAAATTCAAATACGTATGAACATTTAGTGCAATATTTAGTCAATGTCTAAACAGCTTTGGCAATAAGCTTTGACTGTTAATTGCTTTTGTTTGAACCTGGCTAATGATTGGAAGCAGCCTTCTAAGGCACTGCATTCCATTCCAGTGAAGTTCATTGTATTCACTGAGGTCCAAACCACCAATCCTTCCAAAATCCTTTGTGGAGAAGTAAATAAATTCAATGCTGAAAGATTTCCTTCAAGTAAGTAGGGATTTTAGAAATAAGAAAAGCTCTCTCTCTCTCTCTCTCTCTCTCTCTCTCTCTCTCTCTCTCTCTTCCTCTCTCTCTCTCTCTCTCTCTCTCTCTCTCACACACACACACACACACACACACACACACACACACACACACACAAACACACATTTCTAGATGGGCAACATTAAGGAGAGTATACAGGAATGTTGATACATGATAAAATATTTTTAAAGTTCTTGAAAATGCTTACTTATGTAGTCTTACAATCGTTGAATAATAAATTTACCTAGTCATGTGAATAAAATCCCAGTCTGGCAACCTTATGTTGCAAGGGAGTCACCCTCATCTCATTGGTAACATTTCTATCTCCACCCTATTATCATTAGGAAAAGGAATGCAAACTTTTGATTGGCTAGGTATAAACATATACTATGACTCCTGCCTCAATTCCCCAATAAAAGCCTTGCCATAATCTTAATCTCTAATTTTGTTACCATGACTTTCCATCTTTCTTGGGTCTCTGTAATAGTTGGTTGTATATCTGCTCCTTCGGTTGGAACAACCAATAACTCAGATTTACGCCCCCCTCTGTGGAAAGAGATCCCAGGTAAGTTCAGTGACTACAGGGTAAGAATGAAAAGTGGCTGGGTATATCTTAAGAGAATGGGGACCTATAAATCCTAGTGAACCAAACAGCCAGGTATTTTGAAAAATCTTCACACAGAAATGACCAAGGTTTTTATGGGGATTGCCTCTTCAGCATGACTGGCTTAATCATTCAGGTAAGAAATGACTCTCTTTTTCATTTCATGAATTTTCAAAATAATGTAAACTAAAAAGATATTAGATTTCTAAAAATTGGTTATGGCTCTCTCTCTTCACCAACTCCATTTTCTTTTCTCTTCCTCCTCCTATGGCTCCCATTTTTATCCTCATTTTTCTGTACCAAACATTTATGAAATAATCCCTGTGTTCAGGATTTTGTATCTAGCACTGGCCAATAGAACTTTCTTCCTTGATAAATATTATGTGCGGGCACTTTCTGGTAGCGTAACACTGGCCACATATAACTATTGAGCACATAAAATGGGGATAGTGTGACTAAGGAATTGAGTTTTAAATTTTATTTAATTTGAATTAATTTACATGGTCCAAGTGACTAGTGACTACTCTCTGGAGAGCAATGTGCAAGACAGTGGGCATTCACTAAGGCAAAACGCATGGTTCCAACCTCTAGAGACTGAAACCTGTTGTGTGATTTGTGATGTGTGTGTGTTTGATGTGTGATGTATGTGTGAGTGACACCAAAGAACAGAGAGAAAGGAAAGAAAGGCCCAGCCAGAGCAGAGATACAGTGTACTCAGGGGGCAAATTAGTTGCACTATTGGGTAAGAAGGCCAAGTATTTGTGTTTGGAACAATAAGAAATATAGAAATACTTTATTTTGTGAAGAGATACAACAAAAAAAAAAGTTTGTTTAGGATTACCAAGAACGAGTGTTAGACTAACTAAAGGAAGTAAATGGAATGGGTATGACCAGGTTGGACACTTTAGAACTAATCCAGGTGTTAGGTATAAACATTGATTAAAGAGTGGTGAAGAGAGGCAAAGCAAAAATTCTTTAAAGGGAAAAAAAAGACAAAATTCTGGAGCTGGCTATAAAGGAGGGAAGAAGAGTTAAAGATATCTAAAGGAGTGGTGAAACCGAAAAATACCTTCTTTTTCCAACAGAAAGAGGAAAGCTCACCAAGACTTATGTTGTAGGTGATGAATTAAGTCTCAGGCAGGTTCAGTTATGGTGACTTGAGATCACAGATGGAGAAGCTCTGTAGGGATTTGACAAAAACAGAACTGGAGCTCTGTGAGGCTGCAGGTGTTAGGTACTAACAGCATCTGGGTGTTGGCGACACAAGGCCATCCTTAGGGCCAAATCAATGAGTCATTTTAAAAGGAGAGAGAGTCTTGCCTGTCTGGTGTTTCTCAATGGTTAGCACTGATCTGTAATCCAGGAGGTCACAGGTCAGGTGGGGCACATGCTCCAGTTGCAGCTCCATCCCCAGTGGGGGGCTCTCTCTCCCTCTCCCTTCCTCTCTGAAGTCAATAAAAATATATTTGAAAATAATAAAATAAAAAGAATAATGAATTTGAGAAATTTACATCTATTAACAAAACCACCCAGATCTTTACTCTCGCCCATTTGAGGGTAAGCAGGTCAAAAAGAGCAAGTGGGGGACTAAAACAAGAAGGTAAGAAAGAAACAAAATAGGTTCATATTATCTTTACCTCCCTCTCTTCCTGTAAATTTACTGACACAAGGAGCTAAAAATGGCCATCTTATAGTCTCAACTTCCAACGTAAAGGAACTATTATTGTTTCCCCTAGAAAAAATATTCTTCCTTTGAAATTAAGATCATGAGATGAGAACCACCCAAAGTCTCAGGCACAAGAAGCAAAAGTTTATTAGTGAATCATTAGGAATAATAGTGATGACTGACACTGTGATTTTCACTCCTTGATTTTGGAAACCGTAAGTCAGGTCTATAGAAGAAATAGCACCATGGATTAGTCTTTGATAACTAGCATATGCCAAATCTGGAAGCCATTGCCCCAGCCACACAAGTATGGTAACTGATTCCGCAAAGATCATTCCAGCTACTTCAGAATGATGGGACATGGTCAGACCAGTGAATTCCACAACATGAGCCTATTTCTGCTCTGTACTTTGTTTTTCTTTTTTTAAATATATTTTTAGTAATTTCAGAGATGAAGACAGAGAGAGAGAGAAGGGGAAAGAGAGAGAGAGAGAGAGAGAGAGAGAGAGAGAGAGATATCAATGATGAGAGCGGCTGCCATACGAGGAACCGAGCCCACAACTGTGACTGGGAATCGAACTGTGACCTCTGGGTTCATAGGTCGATGCTCAACGACTTATCCATGCTGGCCAGACTCAACTGTGTTCTTTCAGGAAGTGCCAGTATATCATGCAGAAGCATCTCTAAATCAAACTCAATTATTTTTTCTCAGACAACTGGTCATATGGAATTGCCCATGAAGCCAGAAATAAGGCCTGGGATAGAAAAAGCTGAAGGCATATGGGTCATGGGAATCTGAGCCATTTTGTCAGGCAGCTTCCTTGTGTTTACAGGGCCTGTTCAAAATCATCCTTTTATATTCTACTTCAATTTAGTGATGGGCTTGGTGGTCAGATTACGCCCTTTCATGCTGGGCAACTCAGGTTGCATGGTAACTTGTTAGATCATGGTCAGGCATATAAGAACCAGTAACAAGGGAGAAATTGTTCCTCAAAAGGAAAGCCATTATTTGAAGAGGATTCTAGAGCTTGAATATAAAATCCTAATAGTCTGGCCTGCAATTCAAACATAGGGGCCCCCCGAAGGCTCCAGATAGCATCCTTGTCTTACATGAATACTTCAAGCACCATTGCTCTGTTGGGTCATATGGTTCAAGTGACAGAGCAGATTTCATGGCAGCCAGACTAGTGGCAGAGAGTTCTGTTGTGCTGGGTCTCACTAAAATGAGCAGCTTTGGAGGAACCAAGATGGCAGCATAGGTAACACCTGAACTTGCTGCCTCGCACAATCACATCAAAACTACAACTAAAAGACAAAATGGATATCACCCAGAACCACAGGAAGGCTGGCTGAGTGGAAGTTTGACAACTAGAGGGAAAGAGAAAAGCGCACTGAGACAGGTAGGAGGTGCAGAGGTGCGGAAGAGTGGAGGTACGGAGGCGTGCAAAACGGGCTGGCAACTTGGTACACTGTGGTCTTTTACAATCGGGAAGGAGATACAAGCTCCCAACTGCTCTGAACTCCAGTTCCGGGTGAGATTCTGGGGACCCAGACTGATACGGGGAGAAACTGGACTGTCTGGCATCGGGCCAGAAAATGAGGGCAGTTTTCTCTCAGAGGTGCTCGCAGCTATCATTGTTCCTGCACGGGCCTCGGGACACAGAGACCCAGGGACCTATCTGGGCAGGGCTGATGGGCAACCATTGCTGTTTGCACTGCCCCATGATTCCCTAAGACCCCGCCCCACCCAATTTACAATCCCACCCAAGCTATGCACAGAGGCTTTTGCATATGAATGGACTGGCCTTTTGCAATCTAAAACCTAACAAACTGCAGCTGGGTCAAAGAGCCCCAGAGCTTCAAAAAGAAGGCCTAAGGCTCATCAGCAGCCTGCATTGCTTCACAGCTGCGCCTCATCTGGGCACCTCCAAACCCCAAACAAAGAGAAGGAATCTGCAGATCTCTCTATAGCACCTGCTGGGTGGCCTCAGGCAGTGGCTGACTTTGCACCTCCTTGGAGATCCAAGAGCCAGTGTACCCAGTGGTCAGAGTGAGACCACACCAGGTTACAACTCTTCAGATCCATAAGAGACACACTCAGGGGGCAGACTCAGTGAGCACCAAAGCCCCACTGAAGGAAGTCCTGCCCCATAAGGGTGTTTCCAGCACAGCAGTTCTCCCATTGTAGACACAGCTGGTCCTCACAGCCAATTGGGCTGGAGGTCAATTCCTCCCAGTGATACCAAGAGCAATCAAGGCATAAGTACAACAAGACTGTGCACACAGCCCACAAAGGGGTGCACCAAGAGTGTTCACCTCAGGTAATTAGGGAGGCTGAGCCACTGGGCCCTATTGTTGAGGGATGTTTAATGAACCGAAGATGCAGAGATAAGACAAGCACACAGGCGATTGATGCTGGACAGAGGGCATGTAGCAACTCTGTACCCTCAACCATTGCTTTTATTGGGGTTTGGCACGAGATTAGTGCATCAGCAGTTAATCAACAAAATTTTGTTTTGTTCTATATTACAATAGCGCATTGAAGACAACTTGCAGCTGTGCATTCCCTTTCTGCTCTACCCACGACTTTTTAATCTTATTCTTTCTCAGGGAGGTAAATGTTCCGGGAACTCAAGATTGTGTACAATCTTGACCCAGCGTGACTCCCTTGCAAGTCATGTGGTGAACATTCACTTCTTCTTGGCAGGACTTCAGATCCTTGTTTACAAATATCCAGCTACACCCTATAGGACACCTAGCACAGAAAGCCACTCTATCAACACAGGGAAGCAGCCAAAATGTGGAGACAAAGAAACAGGTCACAAATGACAGAAATGGAGGAAAGCAAACTACTGGATATAGAGTTCAAAACCACGGTGATAAGGTTACTCAAGAATCTTCTAGAAACCTGCGAGAAATTTAGTGAGACCCTCAAGGATATGAAAAAGGACCAAGTAGAAATTAAACATACACTGACTGAAATAAAGAATAATATACAGAGATCCAACAGCAGACTAGAGGATTCCAAGAATCAAGTCAAAGATTTGAAATATGAAGAAGCAAAAAAACCTAATCAGAAAAGCAAAAATAAAAAAGAATCCAAAAATATGAAGATAGTGTAAGGAGCCTCTAGGGAAACTTCAAGCGTACCAACATCCGAATTATGGGGGTGTCAGAAGAAGAGAGAGAGCAAGATATTGAAAACCTATTTGAAGAAATAATGACAGAAAACTTCCCCTACCTGGTGAAAGAAATAGACTTACAAGTCCAGGAAGCGCAGAGAACTCCAAACAAA